TCACCAGGAAGGCCTGGTGAGGCCTATAACCTGACCACCACAGTATGTGGGAACTCATAACCAGGAAGGCCCCTTTGAGGCCTGTAACCTAGCGACCACAATGTGTGGGAGCTCATAACCAGGAAGGCCTGGTGAGGCCTGTAACCTGGCGACCACAGTATGTGGGAGCTCATAAACAGGAAGGCCTGGTGAGGCCTGTAACCTGGCGACCACAATGTGTGGGAGCTCATAACCAGGAAGGCCTGGTGAGGCCTTTAACCTGGCGACCACAGTACGTGAGAGCTCGTATCCTGGTGACCACAGTATGTGGGAGCTCATAACCAGGAAGGCCTGGTGAAGCCTGTAACCCAGCGACCACAGCATGTGGGAGCTCATAACCAGGAAGGCCTGGTGAGGCCTGTAACCTGGCGACCACAATAAGTGGGAGCTCATAACCAGGAAGGCCTGGTGAGGCCTGTAACCCGGCAACCACAGTATGTGGGAACTATAACCAGGAAGGCCCCTTTGAGGCCTGTAACGTAGCGACCACAATGTGTGGGAGCTCATAACCAGGAAGGCCTAGTGAGGCCTGTAACCTGGCGACCACAGTATGTGGGAGCTCATAACCAGGAAGGCCTGGTGAGGCCTGTAACCTGGCGACCACAGTATGTGGGAGCTCATAACCAGGAAGGCCTGGTGAGGCCTGTAACCTGGCGACCACAATGTGTGGGAGCTCATAACCAGGAAGGCCTGGTGAGGCCTTTAACCTGGCGACCACAGTATGTGGGAGCTCATAACCAGGAAGGCCTGGTGAAGCCTGTAACCCAGCGACCACAGCATGTGGGAGCTCATAACCAGGAAGGCCTGGTGAGGCCTGTAACCCAGTGACCACAATCAGTGGAAGCTCATAACCAGGAAGGCCTGGTGAGGCCTGTAACCTGGCAACCACAGTATGTGGGAGCTCCCACAGATGTCTCTCCGTGGCCACCATAGCACCGACAGAACAGCAGATTGCTTGGTGGCCCGGAGTCCCGCAACAGATCGGTCTGGTAGGCCTGAGGACCACAAGGGCGTGCAGAACCGCACCTGCCTGACCTGCTGCCGTGTACGCTCTGTCATTCAAGCATGAAGATGTCTTGAGCAGCTTGGATGACAGGGTCAGAGCTCTTAGTGAAGAGGACCAACCAGAGACGAGATAGTTAGCCAACGTCTCGTCCACTGGCGGCCTCGACACTTATCCGTTCTCCACGGCTCCCTCCACAGCAGCGAAACTAGCCCGCTGATGCAGATAGAGACGTGAGGAGAACGGATTCTTCCATACCCTCTCGATTCCAGCGTGGAGATCGGAAACGAATGGAAGGCTCATCCGGGCTGGTGGCTTATGGGTGGGGAGGAACCAGCCATCCAAAATACCATGAGCGGGTTCCTCCCAGACGCGCCTCCACTGCAACAGCAATCTGTCTGAGGCGCGCCCCATAATGTCAACCAGCTCAGCGTACACTGGGCAGGAGGGCTGAAATGATTCGGTCTCAACCAAACTGACATCCTTTTCTATATATATATATATATATATATATATATATATTACAGCCAACTCCTGCCCTGCCCAAAGAGAACAGTTACAGATTCACCAAAGAGAGAGAGCGCTCATTTTCTCTCTTCTTAGATGTTCAACATTAATCTGTAACTCACCCTCGTCAGCTGGTAGATCATCCGCGAGGTTAACGCCCCTCTCCCGATAATCTGCCAGCTCCATCTGAAAGCTCCACGAGCTCAACCGCCACTGAGCCTCAGCCCGAGCGGGAACCGGAACCGCGGGGTTCAGATGCCGCGCCCACTTCCCTCAAGAAGTGGGTCAGACGAGAGCAGAGAGTTCTGAAAGGAAAACTCTCAGTTCGCGCAAAAAACTCCCTCGAGAGCTTCCCGCACATGCTCTTCTTTCAGGCAGAACACGCACAGATCGTGTGAATCCTCCGGTGTCAAATATCTGGACACAAGTCGGCACACTCGCGCAAAGTGTTTCTCCACGTCTCTGCGCGCTTAATCGTTGATACTATCACACAGACAAACAGTCCCTGAAGACGAAAAAGATGTTGTCACGGTTTCAAGGCGCCCTTCTTATACCTCCAGATTGACGCGCTCATCATTCAAGCTGATGATGCACGGGCTGTCGCCGGTCAACCTGATTACTGTGAGTTGATATTTGATTTCAGACACCTGTCACGCCTGAGGCGTTCCCCATAGCGTCATTCGACGTATTGTTGAGTTCCCTTCGAAAGGGAACCTTAATTTCTTTTTGACTGAAGAAAGAAAGACATGGACATCTTGGATGAAATGGGGGTGAGAAAATTATCAGCAAAAGTTGTTTTAAAAGTGAACAACTGCTCTAACAAGTGTAATGTTGCCTTGAGAAAGCAAGCAATTACTACAGTAGGGATGGTTATAAATACTGTGCGTAGGAGGCCTTCCAATTGCATCAACTTATTCCACCTTAAACAAATGCAAAAAGCTTTATGCAAATACAAAACATAAGAAAAACTTTTGTAACACAAAGGGAATTGCAAGAGCAGGAATTCAAAGTTGCTATATATTTCCTCGCTATATTAGTCACACCTCAGAAACAAGCAACCCTTTTTCCTGTCGAATGGGACTGTCAGACAGATAAACGAGGGAAAGAAATGAGAGAAAATACAAAACAGAGAATTGAGAGAGAAAGCTCAAGTTACAGGAAAGCCCCAAACTCCAGAGGAACACACACAAAAAGAAAACAGAATTAGTGAGAAGGACAGCGAATCTGACTCATCTATACTTATCACCATTTTCTAACATGTATTTCTCTGTTTCTTTGTCCTTGGTTTTCATCCTTCAAACAAGCCTTTTTTTAAAGCTTTATTTATGACGTCTGCATCAGATCACAGGTCTGATGTCCATGTCTGACGGGTTTTAAGTGGTTAAAGAGGAACAGCGGGTGCAGATGGTGGGGGAGGAAAGCGTGAGTGGTAAGCATCAAACGCCAGATTATTTGATGTGGCATTGAATTAACAACAGGTCTAAGACATAAAATGAAGGGGAAAAAAAGTGAACAAACAGCTGTCAGAGAGTTCAAACAACCTAATTGTTCAGAACAGACCGAAGTATCCTCAAAATATTCAACCCCCAAGCAAAGAACTTCTTGTTAAACCTTTGAGTTAACAATATAATGCATGAAGCCAACAGCAATAACAACTAGGCTATAAAAATACCACAGAACGTGATGTTACCAAGTGCAACATGTTCCTGGACCAACATCTGTGTTGATCCTGGAACAACATTCCAATCAACCAATCAGATTTGAGGGACACGTTGATAGTTTGTCAAGTTCAGGCTTACAACCATGTTAGATGCTTCTACATCAGTGTTGTCATTTCCCTCTGATTGTAGGGATAACTTATGGGTTATCCCTACAATCAGAGGACAACACTGATGTAGAAACATCTAACCCTGGTTGTTAGGTTTAGGGCTAGGGAAAGGGTTAGGTCTACATTTTCGGCCTGGAATGTTGTTCCAGGATCAACAAAATACGTTGAATCAGGAACGCATCTAACTATGCAAAATCAGGACATACCACACATATTGCTCAGATGCGCAACAGAGGAAAAATGGGAAAGGCATGTGATATAAAACTTTGTCATGTTTTAAAGAAGATTGGCTTGATTAAGTGGAAATAACTGACTCAGGCTCATAACAACCCTCTGAGAGATTTACAATTACACTTCCACACTGGTTTAGATGATTATAAAGGAGAGCTCATATATTCCCTTTTCTTGGAAATATTTAGCTATTAGGTCTATGCTTCCGTTTGTTTTTAAATTATAATAATATAATTTTAAAACAAAATGAAGCATTTAAACTGATATATAAATAAATACTTCTTTAAAATTATATTTTATTTGGCCTGTATTTTATTATATTATTAGCCTTATACAGAATTGATCTCACAAGGGGATTGTTTAGGGCTCCTTGCCATTAAAAAGTTTTAAAACCCTGATAAAGAAAATATCGGAAATTCATAAGAAAAAAACAATCATTTAATTTTGATGGTTTAATGCTGAAAGTAGCCTATAATTGACTGTATAAAAGACTTAATTGTTGTCCCAAACCATGTCAGTGTTACTACTTCATTTTTTTTTTCCAAACTATATTATATTAAAGAATTGAACTGTCCTGCAGGAGATTTTGTAAATATTTTTTTACAGTAATAGAATTTCTTAAAGACTGGTACTCAAAATTCTCTGGGAACCTAAAAATGTGCTTCATTTAGTGACTTCTTAATTAACTTAACTCAGTGGATTTAATACCACTAAGTTACATCAAGGGTCAAATAACATAGAAATGCCACATTAAAGTAAAATGTTACAACTGTGTGTGTGTTTACATACGTGTACAGGTCTGGTATAAAGAATGTTTTTCTCAGGTGGCGAAAAATGAGAAAAGGTTCCCTCAGTAAAAAAAAAACCAATTAGGGGGGAAAATTGATTATTGAATATTTAAGGGATAAAACGGTGTATCACTATGAAGGAATTTATTTTTGTATTGACAGCACATCATCCCACTCAATTAAATGGCTACTGTCCATTTAAGTAAATAAATAGACATTTTATCTATAGTCCCAATATAAACACTTATTATAGGTGAACTGAAGTGATTCAGAATAAGACAAAAACATGGATTCATGATTTACCCGCTTATTTTATACATTTTGAACATTTTGAACACAAAAAAAGTTACGCAATGCAGCCTTAACTTATTTTAGTATGTGAAAAGAAACTGAGCATAGATTGAAACACGAGACTACTAAAAATCGGTCGCAAGGGAAATAGATTATACAGTTGTGGACTGTCAATAGGCAGTAATTATACAGTTATACTGTGATTATTATGCTCACAAATAATTCACCATACAACACTGCCATGAATGAATAGGACATGATGTTAGTTTATATATCTAAAGAAGTCAGAAAGAGGACACCTCCAAGTTCTTACCTTGCCTGATGACGAATTTGTGCACCTCTTTGCCAAAGTAGTCCTCATCTTCAGCCTGCAGAGGGACAGTGTTCAGCTTCATTTCTTCACTCAGTTCAACAGTGCTGTTGTACAAAGAAAGCAAGGAATCTGGGATCTTCTGTCCATCGTCGTCTATCTCAGATTCTGGCTCTTTGGCCATGCGCAGTTTGCTGAGGATCTGACCACGGATAGCCTCAATGCGTTTTTTCTTCACCACCTCCAGGTCCAGAGTCTTGCAGGTGGACATACTGCCCGTTCCAGCCACCATGCACAAGGCCGTCAGTACCAAGCAAACGAATCTCATGGTGCCAAATCTGTGCCCACACTGTCTATTGGAACTGTTTTAAGTAAGGAGAGAGGCTGTATTTAAGCCTTTGGATCAAATAGACACAGTAGTGTAGCAGGTTATCAAGGTGATGCTACCTGAGGAAGATGATTCTGGAAAGCACCTTGAATAATAGCCAACAGAACAGCTGATGTCTGTCTAATATGGGAAATTCCTGGCTGTTTCAGAGCTCCATCCAGACAGCACTGAGCAGTTTAGTTAACCGGAGCAACCACTCTCCCACATAAACAAACTCAGAGACACACAAAGACCATGCAATTAGTAGGCTACACGATGAATATATGCAAGCATAAATCTGTAAAAACAAAACAAAAACATATACACACATAAACAGAAATGTTGTTCCTTTCAGCACAACTTTATCACAGACTCACTGCTAGCAGTAAGTCAACACAGAAATGCTTGTTCAAATCCATGTGTCTGGACTGACTATTTTTCTCTCCTCTAGTTTCTCACTGTGAAAACATGTAGAGGTCCGGATATAATGGCTCGTCTGTAACCTTGTTTTCTCACTAACTTTCCTCTTTACCCCTCCAAGCTTCTCTGGTCTTGATGCTTTAGCCTACTTGATGTTTTGTCATCTCACACAAAAACCTCTAAATAAGTCTTGCTTAACTATTTCACTAAACCAGACAACCTCATCTTGTTGCATCCTGCATTCGTAACAAGACAAATGGCTGTGTCCACTTAAGAAATCTTAGATTAAGTTTCCAGAAGCATCCAGATAATCAGAAAACAGAAATACTTAATTTAACATGCAGACATCATGTTAGGAAAAGAAGCTCTGGCAATGCTGTAAACCATTCAAAACAAAACATAGCAAAGAAGTTTAAGCAAGTGTCATAACTTTATGCTCACAATCCATCAGTAAAAACAAGTAACAGTGTTTTTTAGATGTTTAACATGGCTCTTTAAAGACTACAACCACGTTTTCTCTCCAAACAAGACTTTCCCACTACAAAGGCAAGTGGAAAGATTCATTTACACTGCTCTCATACACATCTCGTTTCACTGAGAGGAAATGAAAGGAAAACAGATCCTCTTGGAAAATACCCTGACGTTTGGGCCCTGGTGATGTCAGGAAAATCAAACTAACCACGTCCAACCCACAAGCTTCGAGTGACAGATGGAGTAAACAAAAAGAGTGAAACGAATGAACCGTCCGTGAGTGCCCAGGCAGTAAAAGCACGTGAACCGCAGCAGTAACAGCAGTAGATGTAGTGCAAATGCTTCTTCTCTTCTGTTTGTCCTCTTTAATTTGTTTTTGGCTTCAGTAAAAAAGTCGTTCAGACACTCCTTCAGCTCCCTCGTGTAACACACTCCCTCTCTTCGCTTGTCAGAGCTTGCTGGTGACAAAATTAATTGTGAGAGCTTCACGTTCCAATAACTTCTCTCTCCCACTCATGCTCACTCACTCTGTTTTCGGGTTGCTGTTGCTTCACTATAAAGCCGAGAACTCTCCGCCCAGGAAATGAGGCTAACAGACTCTCTGAAATCTGCTACTCACACAGCACTTCTCTTATACTGGCCAGGAAACCCTTTGCAGCTTTTGGGGGGGACACATACACAAAAATACACAGTGAAAGGACAGACAGACTAAATAACATGGGCATGACACTAGCGTCTGGGCAAACTAACCACACACCTTATTAACTGAGTGCCAAGGTAAGATGATGACAGGCACTCTGGAATGCTCTCTATTATACAAACACACTCCCAAACTGAACCCCGGCGAGCTGCACAACAGAACACTGTTATGAAGGCCACATTTATGTAATGCGGTGAGCTGATGTTCACTTTTCAGTTTATTTTCTTGCCTTTGATTGTCATTAAATAGATGTGAAGCTGAAATATTAGACACATGTGATCCAAATCCACATTTGGCTGGCTTGAGCATTAGACATTTCTTAGGAGCATCACAACCTTTTCTTTAATCACAATGTCCTCTCTGTACTGGAAGAGCTGAAGCTTGCACCTTAAGAGAATTGTTCATTTTAATTATTCAACCTGCACAACACACCATATCAACTCAGACACCAGTTATTTGCATGTTCTCAGATAATCTCACTGCTTGATTAAAGGGAATCTACAGTGTATACTTTACTGGAAAAGAATTCCATCATGCATTTCCACAAAGCATCCATAACATTAGTAAAACTTTAGCAAGGTTTTCATTTGGATTTTCTTTGGTTTGTTTTAAATGTCAGAAAATGAAACAGATTCACATATTGTGTTTTCTGAGTTTTGGTAAGCTATAGAGACATAGGCATAAAGAGACTATTTCTCATTAAATAAAGCAGTTTTAATTTGTTTTGACAGCATCTATTTTCATGTGTGTCTGGCACCCCCGTGTGGATCTGAAGAGCAGTTGAATCATCTGCTGATTTCAAGTCTTACAGTTTTTTACAATCACTTTGCTACCCTTTTCAGAACCTTGATGTCATTTTTCAAAACTCTAGACACAAAACTCAAAACAGTTATCACTTGTAACACAGGCTGTCTAATGTTCAAAACATTGCATTGAACATTCACAATCTTGCACTTGCACAATCATTGGTTCAAAAAACAAATTTACTGTGAAATACCATTAAATCATAATTATAGATCACCCACACACAAGCAACCGATAGTTTCACTGTGTTAAATATCATGAAATATTGTAGAACAAAATAGGTGATCCAGGTTTCATTATGGTTCTACATGTACAGTAAACACATCTCTGTAAAGCAGTACTGCAGTAGTAGAGAGAATACACACAGAGTGGAATCATTGAACAAAGTGTGTGTGTAACAAGGTTCAGTTGAGGGTGAAGAAGGAGACAGGGTCGGCGGGACTGGAACTCGTACTTAATTTTTATTTACTCAGATTTTCACAAAACAAAAGGTGTGCACACAGCACGTTCACCGTAGCACAGCTACGGCACAACTTCATTCACAAACTCTTTCCACATCGAACAACTTCACGTTCCGCTTCAGCTTTCCAGCTTCTCTGTCCACAGCACGAGTTCCAGCCAGTTCTCTCTCTCCCATCCTCTCCCCCTGTGTGGCTTTTATCGGTCTCCCCACTCCAATCACTGCAATCAGACACAGGTGTTCATCATCTGCACTTGACCCACTTACTCACGGCGCAGCTCATTGACTCGTCTCTCACTACAGACGCCGCGAAAACCACGCCCCCCTACCACATACCCCCACCGCCCGACTCAGGCCGGGGAACCGTCCGGCCTGCAGCCCCCCCCCCATCCCCCCCTCTCCTCCTGGAGAGGAAGTCGGCCACCGCCATCTGCGTCCCCGGCCTGTGGACCACCTGAAACTTAAAAGGTTGTAACGCCAAATACCACTGGGTGATCCGCGTGTTGGTATCTTTCATGCGATGGAGCCATTGGAGGGGCGCGTGGTCCGAACACAGGGTGAAATCCCGGCCCAGGAGGTAGTAGCGGAGGGTGAGGACAGCCCACCGGATGGCCAAACACTCCTTCTCAATGGTGCTGTACATCGTCTCTCTCTTCGAAAGCTTCCGACTGATGTACAGCACCGGCCGTTCCCCCCCCCCCCCCACCTCCTGGGACAGGACCGCACCCAAACCCCTGTCCGACGCGTCCGTCTGTAGGATGAACGGGAGAGAAAAGTCAGGAGCATGCAAAAGCGGGCCGCCGCACAGAGCAGCCTTTATCTGGGTAAAAGCCCGCTGGCACTGCTCCGTCCACTGAAACGTATCTGGAGCGCCCTTTTTAGTTAGGTCAGTCAGCGGGCTAGCGAGGTCCGAATAGTTAGGTACAAACCGTCTATAATATCCCGCTAGCCCCAGGAACTGCCTAACCTCCTTTTTGGTCTTCGGACTTGGACAGGTTGCAACTGCAGCTGTCTTATCAATTTGGGGACGCACCTGTCCATGTCCCAAGTGGAACCCCAGATACTTTACTTCCACCCGCCCAATTGCACACTTCTTCGGGTTGGCCGTGAGCCCAGCTCTTCTCAGCGTTTTCAGGACAGCGCGCAAATACTGCATATGACGCTGCCAATCATTACTATAGATGATGATGTCATCCAAGTAAGCAGCGGCATATGCAGCATGCGGCAGGAGAATTCTGTCCATCAAACGCTGAAAAGTCGCCGGTGCCCCGAACAACCTGAACGGAAGCGTGACAAATTGGTGTAATCCAAACGGCGTGGTAAAAGCTGTTTTTTCTTTGGATATTGGAGATAAGGGGATCTGCCAATAGCCCTTTGTCAAATCCAGTGTCGAATAAAATCGAGCGGAACCAAGCCGATCAAGCAATTCGTCAATCCTCGGCATTGGATAAGCATCAAACTTAGACACCGCGTTCACCTTTCTATAATCCACACAGAACCGAGCCGTCAGGTTTCGGGACTAAAACTATCGGGCTCGCCCAGTCACTGTTGGATTCTTCTATTACCCCCAGGTCCAGCATTGTCTCTAATTCGGCTTGAACCACTTTTTTTTGTGTTCTGGCAAACGATACGGGCGGCAACGTACTACGGCCCCCGGATCAGTCTCAAAGTGGTGCTAAAAGAGATTCGTTCGGCCAGGTTGGGGCGAGAACACATCCGCAAACTCTGCTTGTAAATTCTTAATGTCAGTGAGCTGCGAGGGTGAGAGGTGGTCGCCAGAGGGAGCCAGAGCGAAGGAATGGGGTTTGATATTCGCTTCTGGCCCGAGGTCCTCCTCTCCACCTACCACCGTCGCCAGCATCACTGCCTCAGCCTCAGCCCATTTTTTTAGCAGGTTGAGGTGGTAAATCTGACGTCCCCCGCCCCATCTGTTCGAACTACCTCATAGTTGAGATCCCCAACCCGCCGTGTGACCTCAAAGGGCCCTTGCCACTTTGCGAGTAATTTCGAACTGGACGTGGGGAGTAATACAAGGACCTTATCTCCCGGTACAAATTGACGAAGTCTAGCCCCCCTATTATATTGCTGCCTCTGTCTGTCCTGGGCCTGTAACAAATTCTCCAAAGATAGCCGCCCCAAAGTGTGAAGTTTCGTTCTCAGGTCCAGGACATACTGAATTTCGTTTTTGCTAGCGGATGGTCCGTCCTACCAAGTCTCTCTCAGTACATCCAACACCCCACGGGGTTGACGACCGAAAAGAAGCTCGAAAGGGGAAAACCCCGTGGAGGCTTGGGGGACTTCGCGTATAGCAAATAACAGGGGTTCTAGCCACTTATCCCAATTTTTGGCGTCTTCGTGAACGAACTTACGAATCATGGCTTTTAACGTCCGATTAAACCGTTCGACCAGACCATCCGTTTGTGGGTGATAGACGCTGGTGCGAATCGATTTAATGCCTAACAACTCGTAAAGTTCGCGGATTGTCTTTGACATAAACGCCGTGCCCTGATCGGTGAGGATCTCTTTCGGGATCTCCACCCGGCAGATTAATGAAAACAGCGCGCTTGCGACACTCTTAGCTGAGATATTGCGAAGCGGAACTGCCTCCGGGTATCGTGTTGCATAGTCTACTAAGACTAACGCAAAACGATGCCCTCGTGCTGACCGTTCTAATGGCCCGATGAGGTCCATGCCAATTCGCTCGAAGGGGACCTGCATCAGTGGAAGGGGGCACAAGGGTGCTTTTGGAGTGGCCGGTGGATTAACCAACTGACATTCGCGACAAGACGCGCACGTTCTCGTGAATGCCCGGCCAAAAGAATCGGCCCATGAGACGGTTTAGTGTCGCCGTTTGCCCTAAATGACCGGCCATCGGATTACAGTGAGCCGCCTGGAAAAGCATTTCCCGACGGCTCTTTGGAACCAATAACTGGGTTGTATCTTCTTTTGTCTGGGCATCTCGGGCCACCCGATACAACCTATCTTTAATTATGCAAAAATAGGGGTAAGAAAGCGGTTGGTGCGGGTGGAGTAGCTGTCCGTCGATGGACTGGATCTTATCAAATGCATGTTTGAGCGACTCATCCTGGGACTGCTCCAAGGGAAAATCATCGCGCTCAGAGAGGATATTTCCCTCTGACGCGCTCTGTCGAATCAGGCTTTGGCGTTTTTTGGCGTGGGGAGAGCGCAACGACCGGAGCCGGGGAGGGGAATCCCCCGACAGGTGTCCCCTTCTCCGTCATCCTCCCGGCCGCCGGGGAGTCCCTCTGCCCGCCGGGTCTCCATTGTGGCGCGAGCCTGGGCGCCGGCCCACCCCGAGACCTGGGAGAAGAGATAGTTTTTCCAGAGGGGGACGAGAGAGAGACTGGGGAGGGGGAAAAAAAGAGTGAGAGAGAGAGACAGATGGGAGGGGTTCGCCGACCCCCGAGCACGCCACCATGTGATCTTCCGCCAGTTGGATGGCCTGGTCCAGCGACGTCGGACGGTGGCACTGGACCCATTGAGCTGTTTTCTTGGGAAGCCTCGTGATGAACTGCTCCAGTACCACCTGGTCGATGATTGTCTCGACGTCACTTCCCTCGGCCATC